TGGTGCTACCGCAAACCTACTTTCTATTAGGCAATCAACCAGTGATCAAACTATGGCTTGTATTTGCTCTTGCTCATGAATACACTGGAGCTATGACCAACCTATCAGGAAGTCAACATCGTCGTGTCGCTGGCAGATTACGGGGATGACACCGGCAAGAAGGTCCATGCCTTTCCTGTACACAAGGCGACTGACGACCACGATGGTTACTGCATACAATGAAGAGGAAAAAACACAAACTAATGGTTTTAAGGTCAGTAAGACAACTACGTGCTGAACAGCTGAGAGTGGAATTTGATTCCACGATGGGGTGTACACAGACTCTAATGTGACCCGCTCTGCAAAAAAGGGTACGAAGGGACACTGTGCTATTTCACACTAAGGGCTTTTTTATGTGGACAGGGTGATTTTTTACTTCCTGGTTTATTGGCTTCTATTACATCAGTGCAAGAAACCTAACTGTTGCTATGGGTATCAAGAGACTTTTTCTTGGCTGATTTCTTTTTCCACTTCCTGTGTTTAACGGGCTTTGTTTCTGAAAGTAATTCTGTTGCTGTGTATGATATGATTATGCAGAAATGAATATATCCAGATTGCAAAATGCCACAGGGTTCAAACCTACACCAAATTAAAGCTTATAATGTAACCTATTCAAAAGTGTATGTGACTCACTTTGCAAAAATGTCCCATAATACCCATTTTTGTGGAGCTGGTCACAAATCATAATGTTTATTTGGTTAAGATATTGTGTTTCGTCACCAATCGGAACTCTATTAAAGTTGGATTACATGAACTACATGTAAGTGACTATCTTGGCTGGGAGTGGACAGGCAGGTATTTTTTTTTTTCGCTGGAAAGGGAAAGGCAGATATTTCACTCAAGATGAAACTCTGCTATTGGAATCAACAACAACAATTGATGAATGCTCAAGGAAATTTGGGGAAAGAGCACACGGCAGTTCAAGTTCCCAAGTGATTCACCTACTTCTGTCCGGGTTCCTTCGAGAGAGGTCGGGCATGAAGACACTGGAGTCGACTGCATTTGGTATGACGGACACGATGTCCGGTGGTAGACAGGCCCTCAGAACAGTGTTCTCCTTGCTATATGATGGTTATAAAGATATCAACATATCAGATAAACCTCATCCCAGACTGCTGAGGGTCGAGATCTGGCTTGATCGAACTGTCTGCTCCGAGAAGGCACTTTTTATTTCGGAATGACATCANATTTGTGCACATTTGTGCCGTAAACCCAAAAGAGGGTTAAAGTTGGATTACATGAACTACATGTAAGTGACTATCTTGGCTGGGAGTGGACAGGCAGGTATTTTTTTTTCGCTGGAAAGGGAAAGGCAGATATTTCACTCAAGATGAACCTCTGCTATTGGAATCAACAACAGCAACAATTGATGAACGATCAAGGAAATTTGGGGAAATATGTGGGAAAGAGCACATGGCAGTTCAAGTACCCAAGTAATTCACCTACTTCTGTCCCATTTCCTTCGAGAGAGGTCGGGCATGAAGACACTGGAGTCGACTGCATTTGGTATGACGGACACGATGTCTGGTGGTAAACAGGCCCTCAGAACAGTGTTCTCCTTGCTATATGATGGTCATAAAGATATCAACATATCAGATAAGCCTCATCCCAGACTGCTGAGGGTCGAGATCTGGCTCAATTGAACTGTCTGCTCCGAGAAGGCACTTTTTATTTCGGAATGACATCGCTTTGGGAGGAATTCACGACTTTTGCATCAAAGTTCATGTTTGCTTGGCGCAAGCCACGCTGGGCCCACACAGCCAATTTCTGCACAAATGCATGGTCTTTGGGTGTGCGCCTGATGCATGTTCAAGCCGAGCTAAGAAAACGTCCCACCAGTTTGTCTTTTCTTTTCAAGTGAGGGGGGTGTTCCTAGAGTGGACATGTCAGAACAGCCAGAAAAAGATGACGAGATATTTAGGGATGCTCAGCGTCAGCCACATCAAATGCTGTTTAACCTCAAACATAAATCTGAGTATCGGTATTTTGATAAATTTGTCGTTTGATGTCTTTTATCCAATTATCGCAGCTGTGGGTCCCCCTTAAAATCAAGATTGAACCGTACAACGAGGTGAGTTTAGAGGAGGAAAAGAAATCCATGGAACATTTGACAGAGGAGTTGTAGCTGTGACAATAAGATGCAGTACTTTGATTTAATAGGAGCTTTCAGTAGAACGAAGGCATATATTCACATCCTATTAGCTATGCTTATGTTCATCTCACACTTGGTTTTTTATTGGTACAACGGGCACAAAAGTAGAAAACCTGAAAAGCACTCTGAAATTCTAGACTGTTGAGTAACATATTGATTTTGTTCGCCTAAATTATTTTTTTCCAGTCTCAAACTGTACCCCTCAAAGAAGTCCTAAAGAACTAAATGGGCGCTTTGGTATCAATGTACCTTGTGTGGGAGACGCATACAACGTGGTTGATATCGGCGAGTGTGAAGCTCAAGAGTTTGTTAGTGAGGATGGAGCTGATGTCGGCAAAACCGAAGAGGGAGTGATCAGTGAAGACTGTCTTTAAATTCATGGCACGGCCGTGGATTAAGGCTTCGTGGGCCATGGTGGAAAAGGCCTGAAATATGTCAAAATTAAAAACAGAGGGTGAACAGGAGAATGCCAAAACTGAAATTGTGTAGAAATTCTTGAACTCTCCAAAGTACGTCAACCACTTCTTGCAGAATGATGTGTTTTGAATGCAGTGACGTCCTGTGGCAGTCGAACGGAGGATGTTTTGGGCGAATTCAATATAGGTCAAGACTTATCCCCATGCTTGAGTGACTCCTATTGAGTTCGTACACATGCCAGGTTCAAGCTTGCCCGTGGAAGTTGAGCATGTTCCGAGCCTCCAAGCCACGCCTGGGCATTGTAGAAAATTTTGCTCTGCGACACTGTTTCAGAGTTTCCAAAAAGTAACAAGGTGAGAAATGTCATAAATATCTTGACCAAATGGCCACCAAGGGTCAGCCCAGCCTTGGTAACGCCCAATTTTGTGAGAGACTGTTATCGTTGTGCACAAGTGAAAAAGTCACCTGCTTTATTGATCACTTAGATTTTCATCTAAAGGGGATTGAGCGAAACTACATTGTGCAGCTCTGAAGAAATAAGTCGGCACCAGAATACCAGGGCGCTCAAACTTCAGCTCACCGAATGGCCATGGATGATGGTGATCTGTTCCCTGATGAAGATGTAACGCATTAATGCCATGGTTCCAAACACCGTTGGAAACACACACTCATTGTAGAACACCACAAAGGGTAGATAGTATACCTACAGAAGAGTTAAGCAACCAAACATTGAATATATACGAATGGCATAGCACCTGGGGAGATGGTTGAGGGGAATAGCATAGCACCTGGGGAGGTGGTTGTGGGGGATAGCTGAGGTGGTTGAGGGGAATAGCATAGCACCTGGGGAGATGGTTGGGGGAGTAGCATAGCACCTGGGGTGGTGGTTGGGGGAGTAGCATAGCACCTGGNGGAGATGGTTGAGAGGAATAGCATAGCACCTGGGGAGGTGGTTGGGGGAGTAGCATAGCACCTGGGGTGGTGGTTGAGAGGAATAGCATAGCACCTGGGGAGATGGTTGAGAGGAATAGCATAGCACCTGGAGAGGTGGTTGGGGGAGTAGCATAGCACCTGGGGAGATGGTTGAGAGGAATAGCATAGCACCTGGGGAGGTGGTTGGGGGAGTAGCATAGCACCTGGGGTGGTGGTTGAGAGGAATAGCATAGCACCTGGAGAGGTGGTTGGGGGGTTTTAGCCTCCCAATATTTGGCAAATAATAATATTAATGTGTCCCGTCTGCGGAAAACCATTTTTTTCCCCACAAAAGCCTATTTTGCACCAGCGCAAATCTCAAACGGGTGACCATAACTAAAAATCATGTAAATTCTGTTAAATGGGCCACTGAGAAGAAAAGGTGCCTGTTGCCCAATACTGCCCCTTTGAACAGCACTGTCGGAGAAGAGTTACTATAGCTCATGCATATTCATGATTGACCCTCAAAGTCTCATTGGTCCCTTCACCACCACCATATACCAGTCGCTATTTGTTGTTGCCATACCTCATACATATTCATGATCAAGGGCCGAACTCTGACTGGTCCATTCACCATCACATGCCAGTTGATATGTTTGCTGTTCACCCAGGCCCTCAAAATAAGAACCCACACAAGTCAAATAGGTACCACTATGTTCCCTAGAAATGGTTCATGAAACTGTTACACGGGTCAAGTACGCAAGCGTGCTACACACGAAAAGACGGCAGCAAATGTACGCACTGCCTTTCCCTCGCTCCCAAAATTTTTAATGGCAAAGGAATATGTCTGAGGTATGGTAAATGTTAACAAATGTAAGATGGCATAGGCTATTTTGGGTGGAAAGTTGACTTCAGCTCCCCTCATTATTAGCGGGGCTTCAGAGACCGGTTTGTAAACTTCAAATACTGCACCTCGAGGAGCAAAACTTGACTGTCCACCCTGAAACCATGTAATATCTGTATAGAGCACTGAAGTGTGACGTCATTTAGAACTGGAAAGTGTAGTGCAAACAAATGGAGTACATGTACGTGTTTGTGTACTGGTTCTCATGCTGATGCCTTTTACACCAATAAGTGAGTGAACGACATACGGTATTCACCTTGGAACTCTGGACTGTTTACCGGGCACCCACCAGAGAATCCACGCACAATTCAAACACACAGGTAGATTGAACTGTTGCCTGGCTAACACGACCAACCATCCTCAAATCATGTGCATTTGTATGCTGGTTCAAATGTTGGAAAGGTGTATCACAGAGGCATTTATGTTACACCTCACATTTTAATACAGAAAAAATAGACTAACTGGATCCAATTTAGGTTTCAACTTGAAATGGGTATCTCCGTCTGTACCTTTAGGTTGTTGGCCATGTAGTGTACCCCAACACGGTCGCCGTAGGAATGGGTGACCACAATAACCTGGATTATTGGAGAAAACAAAAATTGAAACTATGAAGGAGGCCTCACAGACCATGTCATAACAATATCTCACTCCTACAGAAATACAACCTTTGGTTGATTGAATTTTCTTGTACTAAATCGTTTTGCATATATTCAAACTTCTGTCCCAGCAAATTTTGATTTTATTTTTTTTTTACATCAATGAGGATTTGCTGTATGAAATACCAACATGTATCAGTTTTTAGATTTGGTGCTGATCCTGGAAAAATATACCACAGTTACGTACAGGCACTCGCCGCTTGGAACTTACTTTGTGGCCTCTCTGGAGAAGGCACTGCGAAAGTTGGAAGATGTGATTCTCCACTCCTCCCGTGTTGGGGAAGAAGAAATCGGACACCATGCTACAACGAAGAACACAGATGCAGTGGTGTTGAAATTACTGACAGAATACCAGCTACACTGCAGTTTACAAAGATTGAGAGGCAATCAGATGAAAGTATATCACAAGGTTTATAGGCTCATCTTATTTTGACTGCTGATACACCAATTATGCCTGCCAAGTCATGTGACCTGTAGAGGGTATCAAACATCAACAAACACGGCGTCCTCCCATAGCAAAATGTGTTTTAACTTTTTAGTGTTGTTTATAAAAAATGAAGACCATTTTTGGCATATTACTCAGCGAGTGCCAAAAAACAATTTAGCAGTGAAAACTTAGAAAATACAGAATTGTTCAGATTTTTTCTCATACGGGTTTGTGTACAGAGTATCAAGTGGCATCCATAAATGGAATTCTTTCCATTTGACGGGTATTCAAGGATATGTACTGTATCACACTAGGGCCTAATTTCATGGCGCTGCTTACAGCAGAATTCCGTGCTTACAATCTCCATTCTGCGCTAACCGCACTACCAGAAAAATTCTGCGCTAACCTTTTAAGCACGGAATCCTTAGTTACGGGATGTACATGTACGCATGTGCGCAAGCCAAAATTCCTTGCTAACCTGTGAAATATGTTCACCGTAAGCACAGAATTTTCTGCTACGGTATAAGTGCCGATTTTTCACTTGCGGTAAGCAGCGCCATGAAATTAGGCCCCGCTGTTAAGTTCCGCCTTGAATTTTGTGCCAACTCACTGTACTCGGTCCTGAGTTGATTTGCCTTTGAATGAAACCCACTTGTAGGATACTCAACTCGGGAAGGAGGACAATCAATCTGCACAAGAGTCAAAACTATCATGTGATTTCGCTGCGCCATCAGTCAGCAAAGATCCCGCATGAAACGTCTGACTTTACTTCCCTGTTTTTGAAATAATCACCACTTTCGGAGTACACATGGTGTTTAGTCGCCATGTGTTGGGCAAGGAACAAAACTGGTTCCTGCCGTCATTGTTATCTACGTGCATGCGGGAACCAGTAATAATAATGTTTGGTGCGCGTGTGCATGATTGCAGTGCTAGAAGAGAAATCATACAACTGGCATCTAACCAGTGAATTTTTTTTTCAAAAAGTAATTTTTCCCCCCCCAAAAAAATATTTAGGGCTTTTCTATGCAAATACATTGTTGTACATGTAATAGAATCTGACATAAGATATTGTGAATTCACTGTTCCAGGTTGGCGCCTGGATTGGTGATGGTACATGTTGTCATTTTGCAGTCTTCGCACGCCTACCTATCCCCTATACCCCTAAAGGGATAAAGCGACAGCATAAATGATGCGACAAAGAGCTATGAATGAAGATGCATCAGCATATGTAGTCTGGTTTCTTGACCTGGAACCATAAAAGTTTCTTTAATGATATTCAGCATATCAAAAGTGACTAAGTCGGGTGACAAGATGCGAAACAAAATGGCAATGCGGTCGTATTTCGCCGAACTCTTGTAAAAAGAATTCTGGTACTATGTGAAGAGATCTCACTGGTTGAGTTGCCTCTCTGTCAAAGTCGAGTTGTCCTAACGGACGACTTGGCAAACGGTCGAGTTGTCCGACATCAATTTGGGGGGACGACTTGACCCGGGGACGACTCGACCCGTTAATTCCACGTAGAATTTTCTGAACGTCATTAGACTAGTACTCAGTAGTAACTAGTATCATAGTACTCGTGACCGTGCTGACTGAATTAAACTGTCCCTAAGCCAACAACACAGCTTACAGGTAGCTTACCATATCCTGTGCTTCATATCTCTTGCTTCAAACGGACGAAACCCAAAAGAGCAACGACAGGAATTCAGAAGGAAAAGTGTTCACTAACAACGGATAAAGTCGAAGGGGGGAAACGTGCGGATCGTGGGCGCGGCCATTTTGCACGGTGTCAGGTCAACTCGCCCCTTACTGACTCGCCCCTTTCCAACTCGCCCCCTCGTAAACTCGCCCCCGACCGACTCGCCTCTTACCAACNAATCACTTACAAGTAGGCTAATCTTGTTGAAGCATGGAGGAAGGAACACAAGTGACCCGATATCTAGTTCTGTTGTTATGTACCCAGTTCAGACAAGCGCTGGCCGGCCCGGCCGGGCAGAGTCGACCCAAAATGTTTAGATTTATTTTCGTAATTTTTTTGGGAGTGATTTTAACTCGTGATATTCGTATTTTTCTTCCTTTTTTTGGAATTAAATATCTTTGAGATTGTTTTTAATTTCTTTACTAGTAACTTAATGTATATTCCTCCGGTAGCTTTTTTAATTAAACGATGTCATGTAGTTGAGAAGACATTCCAATCTTGTCAATTTCCTTTTGGTGTTTCCCTATCTAGTTATACCTGACTAGAATAATTATAACTTACCCCTTTGCCATAAATCCTGTCTCCCTAACACTTCCATAGGTTTGCGTTGCCGGACATTATGCCTAATATGTACCATTTTTTTATCCGAAATAGTCCGCAAAGTTAATTAATATGGTAGAGTGTGGGTGTTGTGGCGCACAAAATCCCATAGACAATACACAGGAAACGCTGCGCCATGGCCCATACACACGATAATACTGAATTAATTTTACCAATATCAAAAAAATATTGTTACCCCCCAAATTCCACAGAAAGGAAATATCCACCAAGCTTTAAACATTTTAACTATCATAATTCTCAACTTTGAGTGCCCGCGGCAAACCCCAGAATCTATTTTTAAGGGCAGCAATCACCGATTCCATCCCTGACTGATTGTGTTTTTTATTAAATGGTGAATGGGCCGGCCATACGTGCTTGGATAACTTAGGGGGCGAGTTGGCGAGGCGGGGAGTCAGTCAGGGGGCGAGTCGGTAAGGGGAGAGCCGGTAAGGGGCGAGTCGGCCAGGGGGCGAGTTAACCTAAAATCTTTTGCACTCATCCGTTCTCGGACCTGCACGCAGCTAGCTGCACGCGCGCAGCAACGACGGTACGTGGATCCAACCGTAAATCGCGCAGCGCGCCCTCTTGTGAGACCAGTACATTCTGGGTCCAGGGTATGCAGACTTGACAGGTGTAAACTGAGCTCGATATTATTTTCCTATCTCCGTGAAATAAACATAGAATTATTTCATCAGCTCTGGCCGAAAGTTTTTTTTTACACGTGACGTACAAACTTGACTTTCGGTTGCGCGTTCCGAAGTTTTGTGGTTGTATATTGTAGATCTAATGAAAAGAAAATTGAAACCCAGTCTGAATAAAACAAGATCCTCGATTTATTTTTTCAAACCGAATCATCTCTGAAAAAATCGACGTCAAGCTCTGTAACATAGGCCTACGTCACAGGTGCTATTTTAAAAGATTATGATCGAATGAAGCCGGTCGAAAGCCACAAGAAGAAGATAGGGAACCGACTAAATATGCTTGGGGCGAAACAGAGCAAATACACGCCATGTCCCCCAAAAGGATGCAAGAAAATGTAGAGTTTGTGCCCTTAAAGTTTAATTACTAGAAGCCTAATCGAAAACAACAACAATATGCGTTTTCCGTCTTCAAAATGCAACCTCAAAGGAATTCCTGATAGCACTTTATGCTCTGGTGCATACTGAGGAGTGATTTTTTTTCCGAAAAGTGCCACCAACTTCACTTTTGAATCGAGGTGTGTTTACCGGGACCTATATCTGGATCGTCAAATTAAAAGCAAGATGAAACAAAAACACTGGTTTACACTTTTATTTTTTAATGAGGATAGTACATTTCCTTGCAACATTTTCTGCGCTGCCTTGTAAAACATATGCAGGTGGATCGTCAGGGCTCAAATGAGGAAGCACATGCGTAGGCTGACAAAGCCTTGGCGCCACAAGCCGACCCTGACTCACTACGGTCCTCGATCTAGCCATGGAGCTACATGGAGTAGACACAGTGGCGTTGTTAGGCTCTTCTTGGGGGGTGTGAGAATCAAAAGTTTCCACCCTTGACGACGCGAGTGAGTTTGTATAATGGTCGGCTCTTTCAGAAACCTTCTGAAACAGGTCTTTATGTCCCCACATAAGTAACACATATCGACACACCACGGATGATGTGAAAACACCTCCCCCCATAAAAAATCCCAATTTTCCAGAGGAGGGCAAGGGGAGTGGCAAGAGTTTTCACAGGGGACTGTTACCCCTGGCAGTGCCATTGAAATACACCCATACACTGTGGGCAGGATTAAGATAATTCACTTTCATTTTAGTCATCACTACAGCTGTCAGGATAACCTGTACAACTTCCTCTATCAACGATATAAAACTAACGGTTTTCAGCACTTTCACAATAACAAAGAATACTGCAAAACGCTGGGCATTTTTTTTACCAATGCCGGGTACCAGGTGAATCGCCAACTATTGAGCAAGCAGATTACCCAACTGCGTTGATTTTCTCCTAATGGAAAAACTTGTCTCATTTTACCAAATTGTTGTACAAAATGTTATTCGCACTAAAACTTTTTCCCCGTTATTCTTTTTTTGCCCAACAGTTAAGCGATTCGCCTGGTACCTTGCTTTGGGCAAAAAGAAAAAGAAAAAAAATCCAGCATTTTAAACTGAAGTGCTGATATTTTCCGCCAGCAAATTTCCAGATGTTTTGTCATCAAACCTCCCTCTTAAAAAGTAAAAGCGAATTTTAAAAAAGGTCAACGGAACTGTGCGTAAAGTCCTAACATTTAATTTTTTGACTGTTTATGACATTTTCTGACAATATAAGAATGGAGAGCAGAAGAAAAAACCCCACTGATTTCTTAGTAAATGTTCACAGAAAGGCAGTGATTGAGAATTTGGGCATGGGGACACTCGCTAGGCGTTTTCCCAGGAGGGGTTGGGGGAGCAACTAACTGATAAACCACACAGTGGATAGGGATGTATTTTGATGTCTTTTCAAGCACATTGGCGAGTTTTTCCCTTCCCTCCTTCTTGGAGGGGGTGTTTCTTTCGGTGCCCACCCCGTTTTCCAGGGAGCATCTCCCCCGTGACCAAGTGGGGTGGAGTGGGCAATATACATACACCTTTTCTAGGGGAGGGCTCTATCACCTCCTCATATACCCCTAGCGACACCCCCTGGTTATAAAGGACAAGCTTGGCAGTGTTATTTCGGTCGGTCCAAAAAGTCCCTTCTTGATGCAGGCTCTAAATTAAAACGGCAATTTCTGTCAACGAAACCAGAAACGCGATGTTATCTGGAAGACAAATAGAAAAGATTCATTGCTTCATTCAGTCACCCGATCTGCAAACGTCGTCGGTTATTGCTCAATCAAGTTTACGCATGTCACAATGTGCTCCGACCAATCCCAAACCGTGATACATTTCCCAACCATTGCTCCAGCCAATCCAGAGTCGCGATAGATTATCTGTGTGTTTATTGCACTGGATAACATCATCGGTGTATTATTAGTAACAGAACAAGAAATCACCGGACATGATGCATGCGGCGTGTTTCCGCCCGATAAGGCCGCCTGGGATAGGGCGGTGTTCCCAGGCCGACATCAGTCGCCTGTACGCGCTGAAGATGACGACAATATCCATTTTCTTTTCGCAGGGGAATTTTCTGACGAGACCCTGTTGTAAACACATACCTTTAACCTCTCAGATACAGGGCCACTAGTGTTTCTTGACTATATAAACGAGAAGCTTTGTTTTAGACTGCCATTTACAAGCAGTTCCTGATTCTGTACGCACAACAGCTCCACTCACCCCAAAACGGCCGATCTATATTCATTAAAAACAATTGCTGCCAGTTTACTGTCTGTGCTGGAAAATTTCTGCTTTTTACCATCACACAAACTTGGGCTGTATCAACCTTCAACTGAAGTCTAACCATTGAAATACCACGGATTTAGATCATCGAAAGCTTGACGGATTTGGATCACCCATGTCAACAATGACCACATTATGGAACGGATGCCATGCGTTCGCATGAACCAAAAATATTGACAATTTCCTATAACGCTGGATAGATAGCTGTCATCTTCTGGTCGCTTCACACGAGCGATTTATTTGTAACTGACCACACACACGCTAATCATGAGGACTTTGGATAGAAAAAAACCGAAGCTTAGCAAGAAAGAAGTGTTTCTTCCCGACTTAGGAGAGGTAAGTGTTTTACCGTCATTTTACTGGAAAGGGCGCTGCCGGTCCGAAAAATCAGAGGATTTTTTTTTTGTAAATTTGACAAAATGATATCCATGCGTCTTAAAAATACATAATGTATCAGTGCAAACCAAGTCGCAAGGCGGTTTCAGACGAAAATTTCACGTCAGCTGAAACTTGTTGCTAGGAGGGGCGATAAAATTTACCAGCGCCCTTATTTGCTGAACCTCACGATGACCCATTCACGGGGATGCAATGTTGTGATTTGAAAAGTTTACAGTTTCTGACACAGGGTACACAATAGCTCAATGGAATTGCCCCCCAATGGCAAGATGCGCTGTGAATATTTCATTTAATTTTAGTTTGGATCTCTGAAAGAGTTGTTGGTGAACGCCGACCCCAACTCCTTCTGTTGTTGGCTTTCAGGTGGCGTATGCCGTAGAACAAGACAGAGACATCTTCACACATGAGAAAGAAAACCCACGAAGGTAAATGACTGACTGAGCATAGGTGTTAACGTCCTTCGCAGACTAATTCAAATTTCGTGAGTAAATCCGAACCAAATCATAACATAAACCAAGCACACACTCAACCCAGTAATCACATATCTTAATTGGGTCAATTCGATTGGAACGAGTGACCACCAATTTTGAGTGTTGGTGTCAAACACGGTTCTAGATCCAGTGGTGCAGTTAATGGTGGAAGGGGGACGTGTCTACCCCGCTTATGTTCGTGACCCTGGGGGTCTCCAGGGGCCCCTGCCTATACTTGAAATCTTGAAATGGACGCAGCTCATGCACAAGCCGAAGTTCATTATTCTTCCTGTGCGAAAAACACTGTCCATACGGCCCCCCTCGAACTTTCGTCCCACTTACGCCACGGTTTAAAACGAAATATTCTCCAAAATATATATTCTATGTATTTGAAAGGCAAATGAAAAAAAAACTAAAAGTGCAAAATAAACTCGTTTTGAAAATCAAGGAAAAGCCTATTTTAATTTGTCTTTGGAGCACGTCTAAAGGTTTCAGATACGGTTGTACTGGTCCCTGATCTCTCCCACGAGGCACGTACCAAGAGAGAGAGAGAGAGGGGAAAAAAAACGCTCAATTGACTAAGGGGGGGTTGTCAGAGATAATTACAGGGGAGCTCCAATATGCTAGTCTCTCCCACTAATGACGGATAACCGGGGCCTCTGTGAGCTGTTCGACATTATCAGATCAAAAGAATATGCTTGTTGGCACATTAAACATGTGACCGCCAATATACATGCCCGATGCCGTGGCTTGTCGTTACCTCCTCTTTACACGGATTCCTTCCGTTCAAAGGGGTCACCTACTACATTTAAGTGGAACTTGCAAGTTGTTCTGGAAATTTTTGTTCTAAGAGAATTCAAAGGGGAACCCCAAAGAGTTTGCATTTGATGGAAATGTGATGGTCTGGGTTTTGCGAATCATAGGTCGGTTCTCGAAACTAGTCCAGTTAGACGCTTCCTTTGTTTTAAAGGAAAACAAATGGAGGAAGCATTGAAACGTTTAGCATTATACCGAACATGTTTCATATATTTCCGTTGCAGACGAACTATCATCATAGAAAAGTTACATGGCTCGTTTGGCTTTGATCTACAGGTAAGATTACATGAAATTCCTTTCTTTTTTTGCCTGCTAACTGTTGACTTCTGCTTACTTTTGAATAATTTATTGCGTGTATCAAATATACCAGCGCTCTGCCATTTCTCTTTTGAGAATACACATAGGCCTACATGTTTTATTCTAACTGTGTTCATGGTTTCTTTGTTGTTATTTTATGACAACACCCTAACATTTTGACTGTGTTATTAGTAATGCTGTGAAAATTTCTGAGGTAGACACGTCGTGTCATCGTGTTTGATACATACTCGACAGCCGCAGTTTCCGTGCGCAAATATCGCGTGAGGTTTTGCACTGCAATAACGTACAGAGAGCTTGTTTACAGAGCGTGTTTCCCCGTCTCTCGGGGTGAAAACCCGGGGGGGGGCACACTTGTTGATTTTCTTGGAGAGAAACCAAACACCCGTCTACAGCTTTGCACAGTCATGATTTTTCAACATGAAGGATACTTACTGCAGACGATCAGTTATGCAAATGTAACAAGGCAAATCGGTTGTTTCCTTGCTCTAAATCCGTCACTTTGTAACGAGGACACCTGCCCCCCCCCACCGTACACACCCAGCCGTTTTCCCGAATAACCAGAGTTACCGGTTTAAACAGAAGGGCTAGTAATTCACCAAAAGTGGGAAGTGGTAAACTTAGTGAACAAGTAAGTTGGAAATCAGCTCAGAGATTCCAGCTAACGATGTATTAGCCAAATCACTGTTCAACGATTGGTTTCAACAAAGCTAACAAGGTTTCAACTTGATTTTCGACAATAGAAACCTTTTGTTGGAATATTTCAAGTGCTTCACTGCTGTTTGTTATGTTTTCGTTTTCCGTACTTCCACATGCAGATTACAACACGTACACGTTGCCACGTCAATTAAAAAAAAGTCTGACTGATCCACCAGGAAACTGACATCAAAACGGGCAAACATTTGATTTCAATATCTCTGTTTCACAAGCACACTCGCCGTAACTGAGTCATTGTATGGACGTATAAAATAAGGATATTTCCTCCACAGTCCTGGTGGTCAGTGACACAATTACACCCAAGTATTGCGTTTTCTCTCCAAGAAAACGTTGGGCAACGTGTGGATTATAAAACTTTAAGCGTTGTCGCCACCCGCGCGGCCTGCATTAAACTTTAGCCTTTTTTTGCGTTGGGGCATGGCGCCATCTCATTCTGCTAAGGTGTGTCATCTAATGAAATATCCGCCCCCTCCCACACTGTTTCCCCCCACCGTGGGCAACCACCTGAGCCACATGATATCCCCCAGTCTCCCATCGGCAGTACAGAAATAGTTCCAGCCGGTGACACGCTCAATTTCTTTCCCCCGTCGTCTGCAGACGTATGCCATACACCACCGCGGCAGTGACGAGGTTGAGGTCTGCACGTACGTGTGTGACGTGTTCAAGGACGGAGCGGCACACCTGGCGGGAATGAGAAAAGGTGAGATGCACCATGGGATAGGCGCACTGAAGGGCGCATGGGGAGTGGGGTACACGACCGAAGCTTCGTTGGAAAATCTGTAACTACCAGCTTTGGGACAATGTTACTGCAGTTGTTTAAGCAAATCGATTTTTACGTTTTATTCACTTACGGTCGAGCGTTGTATAACATGAATAGTGATAACTGTCAGTAGTTTTTTCAAGATGTATTTTTGTCAGTATTGTCAATAGTTTTAATTATATTGAGCCAAACAAACGCCAACTGTTTTATTTTAACATCCATTGCCCTTGGACGAAAACACTTTAACGGAAACACTTTTGAAAACCAAACTAATTATTGCTTGCATCTATCAAGTGGCCGGAAATACTTGTTTACGTATTTGCAAACACTTTTTCCTAAAGCGAATGGTACGAGCGGTGTAATGCTAACCGTATCAGTGTAAATAAACAAACAAAACAAAACGTGCATGGCACGGACATCCGCAGGCAGGAGAAGATAATTAGCAAAACAATTGATCGTTCCTAATATCACACCACGCGTAAACCACAACCTTAAATCGTTTCCGAGTCAAAAACATTTTACTTATTTTACCATAGCAACTTCCCCTCAGGCTTGCCGGATGAAAACCACAAAAAGTCATAAAGATACCGGGCAATGGGCGCTGTAGAGTATATTTCACTTATCAGGGTCATTTCAATCGGCTGGAGTATAACGAAAGTCCAAACCGCAGCCATTTCGTTGCTTTGGCGACCCTCGGGCCGCAATGAATGTCTGTCACCGCCAGCGCATGGATTTCTATCTTTGGGGTTCAGTTTTTGTTTTGAAGTATTTGGATAAAAATTTTTTTAAATCATTTGTGTGCTTCCACAGGTGATATTATTTTGTCAGTCAATGGCATCAACGTAGAGGGCGCTAAACACCACCAGATTGTAGAGCTCATAAAGTTAACACCAAGCTCGTTACGGTAGGTTTATGTACAAAACATATACTCCATATTATCAAAGCGATTCATCAGATATACCCATGACATCAGAAAGTTTCACGCTGAATATCTCAAATATTTAGAAATCACGATAGGCATTAATTACGTCAAGGTGTCACGGGGTTTGTTTATTATAATTACAGATTGGTAGTGCTGTTCGAAGACTGTGTGCGCAAAGTCGAACTCACCAAGAAGCTCGTCAAATTAAAGGTAAGAATGGTAATGCGCACACTTTCACAAGTCCACAAGTAATTTTGACGATTTTCGTGGCCAGGAATGTCTTAAAATTCACAATCTGCAAAACCGAAGTGTGTTACAACACCAAGAGCACTGAGACACTGATTCGCACATTGTAATGAGCGTGGTGTTCAGGTGACTCTTTAAGCTCTTGCGAAAAATGCCAATTTGTGTGTATTGTATTCTTTTTTTTTCATCTGCCCAGCGGACACTCTACGACAAGAAGCTAGCGTTCCGAGCCCTTCAGGCCCAGGAGAAGCGACTTCTTCTCGGCATGGACCGGTACGACCGAGGCCTTACCCCGTCCCACTCCCAGGACAGCGGCATCTGCTCGTCCTCTTCCTGCACGAACTCGTCCTTGCTGACTTGCAGCAGCAAGTCACACTCCATGAGCTCGCTCAGCTCGGGTGGCTTCTCTCTCTCCATGATTCCCGGCAACGAGAGCCTGGAGGAGATCTCCATATTGGACATCTGAGCAGACATGTCGCGGCGTCTGATTGGCAGAGAGTGACTGTTTCACGCAAGTCGCCGTAGAATGGATGCTTTGGCACACGGCCTGTGATTGGCGGAGACGGAGCCATCTCGCAACGATTTTTGGCTCAGCGCGTCTGATTGGACGAAGACCGTGCGCATAACAATTGAGAAAGCTGGTTCCCTGCGTGCGATTGGTGAGAAGTTCGTCGATGCTAAAACTGCATCACACCGTTTCTGACAAACTGCACTGATAATAGAATGATCCTCAAGACAATGTAAAACTGCGCATGATCGCAAAAATTAGATATAGCTTGCAATTATGTCGTGGTGAAGTCCAAGGACAGAATGTCCAACTTCGGTCCCCCAAACCCGGTACCTGTTTCTACCCTGAAAACGCAAATCTGAAAAGGCGGGAATAAATTCACAGTTGGCTATGCAAGGTGGGCACTCCCGCTAGAAGCAAATTTATACGGGGGTATCAAACATAGCCAGACTTTGAAAAACAAAGCTGCAGTTAATTTAACCGTGCAATAAACACGACCAATAAAAATTTTATCTTGTCTGGGTTTCACAATGAGGAAAAGTCCCGTGCGAATACACCGGCTATATACGTCAAGGGCAATTATAGGGTCAAACATGCGCCGGGAACATCAACTCAAGGAAGGAAGAGGGCTGACGTATTGCTTCTTTATTTCTGGGCTGAACTTCCTGAAAAAATTGTTGATCTGAGTGGAGCGGGACTTTCGAGAGGAATTGAAAGAGAAAAAGCTGCCAGCCGGTCACCAAATGCCCTTGGAGTATCCAGACAGATAATACGATCTAACTAGAACCAGTTATTATTAAACTTCAGTGGAAAGGGGTCGTGGTATCGCCGACCTTTTAAAATGCCACCGAAATGCTTGCTCTTAAGGTTATCGGAGGCAGGATTACACTTTCCTCCTTTCCCAGACGTTAAATAACTTTTTCCCCGAGAATAATGATCGGGGTCAGCTGAACTGTCTGTTTGATATTTTAAGTAATTCCTTGGTCACTTCGCTGTCATTAATGCTCTGATTCGATTCTTGTATTGCAGAGGTATGTTCCGTAAAAATTCACTTAATTTCAAAAGAGAACAGGGTATGATTGTAACAGGAGATCAGACGTGTTACCTGGCACCAATCAAAGAATCTGTGCATTTTCCTGGGTAAGGTTTTAATACATGCACATGCCCTTGAACTATTGGGAACCAGACCTTCTTCAACAAGATTTAGGGCCACACGAAGTCTTTTGCTGCAGGCATATGCACGAACCAGAACGCCCGTTGGGACGAGAGAGGTTATAGTTTCTACACCCCTAAACAATATTTCAGTCCCGGCCCGATTTACTCTCTGAGTGATATCGATACCTAACACGTGACGCGCGACTCCAAGACTCAGTTTCGATCAATGAGGTCATCGTATCGGAAGCAAGCTGGGACCATTACAACAGAATCACGTGCCGTCTCGAAAACTAGCATATCGAACTGTTTCTTTGACACGAAGATCTGCGATTTCGCAATCGAATGTATTGGAAAATTCCTCAAACATCTTTTCCGGGTGTGCAACACCTGGCAGATTCTAAAACCACAAATGCACTGCAGCACATAATGTGATATGTCTCAGCAATCCAGGTTTCGAACTGTGAGTCGGTCGAAAAACCTATGTGCAATATTTACTGATCGTATTGCGATACTTGTTTTTCCTTCAGTTGTTTTGCAACCATACAGCTTCTGGTTACGATCTCTTACAGTTACAAGCAAACTAGAGCTTCGCAGCAAATCAGGAAAAAGCACGACCGTGATAGTCGTCTGAACACTGCGTAGAAAGCTCCAAAAAGATTATGCCAAAATAAACAAACACAAATGACTGCAAGGTGACACAAAACTCGGGCTCGATGGATCGAAAACAAGTATCGATTTGATTTGATGCAAGAACTTCAAAGTGTGTTAGAGAAAATTTACCTACTGAATAAAGCCAGCTCGTTATTCGATAATAATGTAAATATTTAACTTTAAATATGTTATTTAAATTAAATGGAATGAAATAAAATATTAGATTAATAAATTCATTCTACCGATGTGCCACTTTGTACTGTTGTTAACATATTCGAAATTCACCAGTTAAATCTCCATATTCAGTTCTCTTTCCAAGTTGCAATCCGCTCCTTCTGTTCCAAGCCAGAAAATAGACTCAAAACATTCAGAGCGGTCCAAATCATGATTTCATGCCGACAAATTCTCGGCAATTGGAATATTTTGTAGTCCAAAGACTGGAGGATACAGATTGAATGGTGAAAACCAGCAAAACTATCAGCATGTATTTCTGGGAAAATTTGTATAAAACGGAATCCTTCGAATGGCTCTCTTTTTGAAATGGAATGAATGCATCGATTTCAAAATGGCAATGGTTTCAAAACTTTTTTAGAGGGCGTGTTCCTCTCAGGATGGTAAATGTCAACAGTTACAGAACAGGTAACCTTCCAAAAAACGAAAGGAACATGAGAGTTGACTAAATAAGCTTAAATGTGATGTGTCCCTTAAATATCTGGGAAACTTGTATTTTGCCAAACATTTGAGGGCAAATTCACTTGTCACTATATTATCTATGGCAGCTTAAAAACCCAATTACAACCATTAGCATTCCAGTCAGGTTCTTCACCCTAATCGAGACACTACACATTATTAAGCGAAGGCCGAGGCTAAACTTAAGACCTGATCTCACGCATGCCAGGGTTTTTTTTTCAACTTCCAGCTTCGTTCCATCGTCGGTTTCAGATTTTAGTTTCGTGGGTGTATGCTCGATCCGAGTCCTTCAAGCTAAATGCAGCTCTCTTTTCTGCAAGCGAGATATCAATTTTTAAAAAGTGGAACAAAGTTTAGATGTTTGAATCCGACTGCATGGGTTGAGACATAAAGCAAACAGATATTTGACATTTGGGAAAGGACCCAGATCTGAGACTGAATCTGCCTTGACCAGAAGCACCCCCTCATTCATTCCAAAGAGCCATGTTGGCGGGGAGTGTTTATCTTGTTGGTGGCGACGCGACCGTAACGTGTGCGTTTCACAGTCTTTGTGCAGACCAAATTTCTACTTGGGGTCCATTTGAAATATGAACATCAACAGCGCGCGAGAGGACATCAAAGCTACCTGCTCCGCTCTGGATATGAAACGGTGCATGGGTCACAAAAAACGGCCATATTGCAACAACAGAAAATACAGCATGTGTCGATAAACCGTGCTCACAGTAAAAAATATGTTTATAAATGCATCGCCGACGTTCATCGTAGAGCAGCATTATTCTGGCCATGGACTGCGAACGCATTGTTCTGATCCACTCCGTCCGTGACTCACATCGCGACACCCGAGGGACACACTGAGTCACTCCTGGAACCGTTGCAATAATAGGGTCAGAACGGGAGGGGGGAAACGGGTGTCGCGACAGGCGAAGGCATGCAAAGGCCACCTGACGCCGCCGAGATCTTCCGGGAGTAATTAAAAAGACGAGAAGGGAAAGTTATCCACAGGGCTACAAGAAAAAAAATTATATGCATGCAGAAAGCAGAAGACCACATGGGTAATGTACACTGTACAATGTTGGGTGCGCGCGCAAGTGTAAACTGTGACTTTGATTCAAGTTGGAGTCTTCCGGGAAATTGATCCAATGCACTTTTACCGTTTGATATTCGTCGTCTGTCGTACGGTTTCAACGGATGCCCAATCAAATTCAACCCAAGAACCCCGCACTGTTGTCGAAGGACGTTCGATGCTGTTTCGCTAACACCGACTGTCTTATCAAAGGAAAGCAAATTCGTCTTTTACACACAGTTTAATAGTCAGTTTGTTCAATATTATTTTTTGCAAGACTTCATTGTGACATATGCATCCTCGCCAAAGGTCGTGAAAAATAGGATCGGCAGATGCGATTTGATTATGTTTGGCATTAACTAAAGCTGAAAAATAAGCTTTGCATCAAAATATTTGTATTGTTTAAAGCCTTACAGTCTGGCTCTATAGACTTTAAAGGCGCCTTTCCATATGTAAGTTTTTTGGGTGCGTTGCGTACACGATGTGTTCATGCGTTTCACTTTCACAGACACAAAAATCTACTCCATCAACGTAACACACGTGTGCGTTGCGTTGTAGCACACGTGTACATTGCGTCCGGCCGTCAAGATCACCCTGGAAGGATTTTGACGGATATGGTTCGTAAGTGTGACGTCACTTCAGTTCAAACCACGCCCACTGCGCATAGAATACCAGAAGTTTACGCGCAACTTGTCGGTGCATCCAATGGGAGCGTCTAATTCGCGGTGCGTGCGCGTGTACGAAGTCACGAACCAGACAGTGCAAACGAATGGAGTGCGTGCGCGTTGGTTCACGCACACTAATTAAGCGCGTGTCGTATTCACTTCGGTACCTGTCCACAAGCGTTTGTGCCGCCACAGTAAAGGCTTTAATTCTGGTTGTCTATTATGACACTTTATTTTTCAATCTTGACGAATTTCGTCGCGAACTGGCGTCATGATGTCAAATTCGCACTGGCTTTGGCGCCAAGCGCGAAGAAAGGTCTCAACCCACACGCGGCCGCACCGGTGCCCACACGCGGCTGCACCGGTGCCCGCGTGAGTGAAGGGAAGAAGTCTGAACAGGTGACGAGAGGCGCTTGTGACATGTGCGACACAAGGGGCCTGTACTTCGACCGACAGTGAGTAATTGATTAAACCTCCCCCCCCTTCTGTAGCGGAAATGGTTTGATTTTTCAAAGGAGCCGGGGGACAGTTAGAAAACACAAAGATACAGGGGGTCTGGGAAGGGTTCAGAAGAGGACAAGGGGTCATGACAACGCCTTGGGGAGGAGATTGGAGGAAACATTTAACCGCTTTTCTCTCGCTCTCGACTCCACTTCCAGCGAGTCTTACACTAGGATGTCCAACAAAAATTTAGCGAGCGAAGACTGTCCATTTCAACCACTTTTAGCCACATCTAGAGTATGCCCTATAGACACAATCAAGATTGAATCTAGGCCACTTTCTAGACTGATCACGAAACCAAATTGAAATTCAGTCACCGAATGCGCATTTCATCTTTTCAACTGATTCAAATAATATGCGGACAGCACTATGCTGCGAAACATGCAGGGCAAAAACCCCTTTTACAGAAAAGTGGCATAAACTCAATTTTGAGTGCTTGTGTTCACTGGGGCTTATCTCCAGACCGCGAAAAGAAAACAAGGCGAATTAAAAAGTATCAAGCTAAAAGTGTTCACACTTTAAAACTATGTAAGTTAGTTATCCATGTTTGAAAGTGGACAACATTAACTTGAACCCCACACAAGGACTGCAAATCTCAAACTTATTTCCTTTGCAGTGACATCAGTGGCATGGGGGTAGGGTTGCAAAATCAATCAGCCCTTTCGGCATGGACGTCCTGCATGGATCACACCAATACTCGCTATTCGGGCAACGAGGATGTCACAATTTCCACTTGGCAAAGATAGGTTGTTCTCAATTTTCGTCTACCCTGCCTAGTTTGAGGTCTTTTTTGTAGTCTTTACAAATCACTCAAATTGAACTGATGTGACATTTCACCTTTCTTTTTAAATATTCCCTCGTCGCGTCAAGAAAATGATAATATTCCTGCTATTTACAAACCAATACTTCACGTTTCAAATATCGAATTTGACAACTGTTTTAATGTAATCGTGTTAATTTTAAAACACTATTACTTTTAATGTTATAATTTCCACGACTCCTGATGAGCACTACTTTGTCATGAAATTTGAGTAAGGAAGTGTATGGCATTGTGGGTAGGTTATGATCGATTCAGTGCTCATATACTCTAAACATTTTATGTATACTTGTTCTAGGTTAACCAGTTAACGAACACAGTATTCAATGAGAAGTGTTACAAAATCAGCCGTTCAACAGGCAACAACGGTAGGGGGTGGTTACACACGAACTAATTCTGTGAAAATAATCTTGGAAATTCACACCGCCCTCTGTTGATCTGAACTAGGCTCTGGCAGTTGAGGCAGCACTACGTTTGAATGATTTCCATTTGCCGGGTTTAATACTGGACCTTGTTTTTAAGATCATACTTTCTGAATAAAAAAAATAGTCAAGAGACACTGTGTCCATGGTACTTTCATTTTTCTTCTCACGATGTTCCTTATTTCCTGGTCCCTGTTCAGAGGTCTATTCGATGATAAAAGGCACTTGACTTTAATATTCCCCGCTGACAAGAAACACTTCCCTTCCTGCGCAATACATGACAAGATTATGCTGCTTAGCCGCTGGTTCAGTGTGGTTTGTGATACAGCATTTTTCCCCTATCTTTCCCTGAACATCGCAGTGACATCACTTTGCAGCTGCGATAAATGAGCCGAGGACACATGTTGTCAAGATCTACACTCTGAGCTGTACCAACTGGGCCTCTAGACTGTAATTTGTCAGGCGGTGTTTTTTCCCTGAAAGATGGCGTGTGTGTCAACTCTGGAGAACTGATGAGTTCCCTTCTAGTGAGCACCAACGTTCCGCTCGGGCCGCTCCGCTCGGGCCGCTCCGCTCGGGCCGCACCGCTCGGGCCGCTCCGCTCGGGCCGCACCGCTCGGGCCGCACCGCTCGGGCCGCTCCGCTCAAGGCCTCCACCTTCCTACATGCCTCCCCAGAACTTAGAGAGGGAAACATGAGTTGATAGTCAACCTTTGCTGGGGTTTTAACTGTGACAGGGCCGGAGTTCCCCTCTCCGAAAAATATAGGCCCCCAAATGTCCCCATGGAAAATGTACCCCTCTTACACCACTGCCGGCATTCTTAAGGAGCCCTCAGACTAGAGCATGGTCTCAGCTCAAATCCAACCCCCCCCCCGCGACAAATTTACAGGGACATACAGTGGACTCACCTAAAACAAAGGTACAAGGAGCCAGCTCCGCCAATCAGCGAACACTGAAACTTGCAGGACATGCGCCTCTGAGGGGTGTTCCGATTCCAACCCTGACCGCACTTGAAGTCGACACGCCCCCTTGAACTCACTGTAACCCCCACCAGATAGACTGGTGAGGTTGGCACACGCACACACACAGACAGACAGTAGCCTTGGAGGAGGGGGACAGAGGGGGTGGGGAGGAAATGAGGCTCGGGGGCTGGCAGACTGTCTGGGAAATGTGACAAACTGCCTCATTAGACCAAGGACAGGTCGAGTCAGAACAGGGCCAAAGAGGCGAGGCCTCAAGGGTCCGTGTCAGTGACAGCAACAAATTTCCTTTACTCATTGAATACTGTGATATTACCCAGGTCAAATATCTGTCAAATAAGGCTTTTGCAAGTTACATTTGAATAAAATCTGGTAAACTGTGTTCTTTAAATTCACGTGAACGTAACATTTTGAATTCTCCATACTAAAAACACTGTTGCTATACTGCATGATTCAGAGCAAGCTTTTGCTTAGTTACATAAGATACACAACAAGGGCATAAAGGTACCACTCCAGAGATGGTGGTCGCTATGCAAAAGCTTGCCCCGAAGCACCAGGTATGGCAACAGTGTCTTTAGTCCGGAGAATTTAAATTGTTACATTTATGTGCTATCAGATAACACAGTGTACCAGATTTTATTCAAATTTAACTCGCAAAAGGCTTGTTATCAAAGAATACCATATACATTTAGAAGACAACAAGAAAAAACAGGAAGATAAAGTAAATTGCATGTACCAATCTACAAAATGTAGATTTCAGTGACTTCTCACAAACCAATGTTTCCTGTCTGCATTGTCTTACTAAATTTGATACCTGAAAGATTGCTTGAGAAAACTGTAGACAAATAAAGATTTCGCTATGAATATTTTTCTATCAGTATGTGCTGAATTTAAGGCACAAATTTCTCTTCATACAAAAAGTTGTCTGCAGTGTCGTATTGACGCAGTCATATATTTACACCCTAATTTCCCCAAACTTCCCAATTAAAGATGTTGACATCATTTCAGGTAAGAGCTCACTGAAATTTGGTGCCTTCCTTTGAAGGAAAATTTATGGTGCAGTAAAAAAGATTGTTTCCAATCCTATTAGCTGTTTAATTTTCCCGAGCTGTTCTTTTTTCATAGCTTTTCTTTTTAGGGATTAAATTTGTATCAAATCTGGACTTTTTATTTGGTTCTGACAAAATATGCAGCAACTAGGGCAAGTTTTAACTGGAAAACCTTCATGAAAACTCTTTTCAACACAAAAGTATCCACAAAGGGCTCTCAAAAATCTGTTTACCGTTGATAAACTTGCCATCTTAAAAAAAACCACTTCCTCCATTTTTCAAAACAAATCACGGACAAGAAACTGTTTCTTCTTTTACGTGGCATAATCTCATCACCGTCTAGCCCTCTACTCCCCTACCTTCATTCTCCAATCATCCCCCTTTTTTTATTTTGTATCTAATCGGCTGGCAGGCCCAGTTCAAACCTCCTTTCTGACAGCATCTTGCCTGCCTCGATGCAAGCGTGCACCCACTCCGGCGACACCAGATGAAACTTACTCCTTCGCTGTCTCAGCAATTTCTTGTACGAGGGAAGCCGTGTCTTGTCACTGTTCATTCCATTTTTCAAAACAAATAATTACAAATAATTAGAAGTTCATGCTCCACAATGGCCAGTAAGAAAACTATTTTTAAACTGATTTTAAACAATACTAATGAAGTTTGAATGGAAAGAAAAAAGAATGATACCTGTGATCCAAGACAACATGGGTGATGTCATCAGCCATCTTGGGTGAGACGGTGGCACCATAGAAACGCATCTCCATGGCAACCAGATCCAAGCTGCAGTCTTTTATGTGCTGAAATCACAAGGGAGGTCAACACTGCATTTATTTGCCAAACTTTGCACGGATGAAAGAAATGAGCCTTCATGTTAATCACTTATGGAAAAATATCACACAGTTGGTCAATCTCTACAAAACAAAATTGTACCAAGAAATCTGTACTAAATCTGAGATTCTGAATTTCACCTCTTTCCAACTTTTGGAAGTATTTCCGTACTTTTTGGCAGCTTTAAATAGTGTGACTAATGTTTAACACTAACAAGCAGATTTCAAGCAGTTTGTCCAATGAAACATGACTTCTGAAGTCTGTTTTGTTCAAGTGACTATACGAGTTTGGAAATAAATTTTAAACACACCAAACAATATTTGATAAAACAGAATTTGGTCAAATTACTCTTTAATCATGCAAAATTCACATTCACATAATGTCTGAGGTATTCCACACTTTGGGGGGAAAATTTTAATTTCAAACACTCACATTTCAAGAACCCAAAATCTCAAAGAGGTCCAAGACATGGCAAATAAATTGGTTATTTCATGAAATCAATAGAGTTGTGAAATTTCAAACTTTAGATTCTCTTTGTAACGGTCAGTGGCAACTATCCTGACTTTTTGTTAACTTTTCAGTATTTGGAAATACTCACAGTTGATTGGTCACTGATGATGAGAGTTGAGTCCATGTACACCTTGCAGAGTCGGAACAGCCCCAAGGGGGACTCCCCGGGAAAATACTTCTGTTCCAGCTCCGCGATGGCCTCGCTGTCGAGCATATGATAATCGCCCTGTTGCAGGAACAATACAAGTCAAAAACTCACCAACGTGACTGATGAAACAAATGCTACTGAGCACGCCTGGTATTGGGGAATTCAGATTCTCTGCACAACCCAATGGCCCCCTTTAATGGCAGAAAGTCTTGTGTTGGGTTACATGGAGCAACCGTCACAGAACAATGGCTCCAGTCCGTACATTAGTTACCACAACCATACCACCATTGGTCGGGGCCACTACAAATGGCGAGTGATAGCATTGCCATGATTATCCAGATTCATCTTTAGGGAACCCTCACTGGACCACATGACCCAATGGACATGTGACATTGTAATAGGCAAAGACCATATCAGTGCGAGCATTAGGTACTGGGAAACCCTTCAAAGCTTTGATAGATGGCAAAAAACACGTAGGTAGCACCCACTACAGGATCGAAATAAATGCAACAACTGCATACTTGCACAAGTGGCAACCATCCTCTGATCAAGAATTTGTGGTTATCTTACGTGGAAATCAATATGCCTCAGTGTCTAGCTTACAACTTGCTAAGTATGGTTGCTAACCAAATGCTTGCGTAACTCAATGGTGGTTTATCTCCTTAAAGAATTTGTGATTGTCTTACGTGAAAATCAATACAACTCAGTGTCTAGTTTACAACTTGCCAAGTACAATTGCTAACCAAATGCTTGCCTAATGCAATGGCGTTTAATCTTGGCTAAATCATGTGTTCGTGGGGTGCTTTGATTTCATGTCGTCAAGTATATCTCTCCAAACAACGATTCTGTACAGTGATCTGCAGGACTTGGAGTTAATGCAGGTGGGCTAAAAACCCAAGCCAAATGTCAGCCACAGTGAGAATCCAAACTCAAAGTAAAGAAGCTAACCTATTGCTTTCCAGGTGAGAATGACGGAGCACATGGAAATGCAACACAGAAATTAAGACCAATTTACGCAAGGGAGCAACAATTTTATTAGTGCTGTCGTCAAGAGCCTTTTAGGCCCTCACAAGACTAACACAATCTCTCGGGTCTAAATTCAAGTCACAAGCTATTCAAATGACTTGCAACAAAAGAATTTTTTGTAACAACTCACCCCGTTACTTGTGAATGGTCTTGTGGCCGGTCTTATGATATCTTGACTTCAACACAAAAATGGACACACACCTTACGGGCTTCTGTTTAATGATGTCATTACATCGGCACTGCTTAGATAATTAAAACAAGCAACTGTGCAAATAGACCAATGACTCTGAGTTCAATAAATGAAAATATTCATATCAGTAAAAACCCTTCTTACCTCTTGACCGACTTTGTCAAAGATTTCCTTGAGCTTCTCCGCGTCCACATCTTCTGTGTAGCTATCCCCATGACGATCGTACAGCAATGAAAACTGTTCTTTGGTTTCTGGGGAGACGTGAATCATGTGACTTGGTAGCCAAGGAAGGCATTTCTTCTCCTCCTGTGTCGAAAAAAATCCAGCACGAACCAATACATATGCAAATTCAAAGTTGCAAGATATTCCAAAATTAACCCGATTACGAAGCAAAGTAATAAAAAAAATCCCTGAATGATTAATCCCTCAACAAATCTATAATTTAGGGGTCAAAAATTCTGACATTTTGGAAAAATCACATCCCCTGACAAATCCACAGAGACCCCTCCCCTCAAACCACTGATCATCTGATGGTTCATGCAACACACCTGGTTACTTACCAAACATGTCAGAAGCCACTCCGTTCTGACCACATCATAGATATCACAGCTAACAAACAATAAAACACATCAGGCATAAATCTCCAGCTCACCTCATAGACACAAGACTACAATGGATGGAATAAGCCAGTTGTGAATTTCGAAATGGCGAGATCATTGAGAACAAATCATGTAAGCTCCAACATATTTAGTGCCTGTGAAACAGTGCTGTCATGCTGATGGAGCCAACCTCGCGCAAAGGTGTTGTTATTGCTGACCTCTAAGGAAAATTCTTATCAGGTAGGTGTCAGACAGAACCGTCCGACCCATACATTTATTATTGGTTGGCTATCAGGTGAAGTTTTCTCAAGTGGCCAATTCTACCCGATAAATGCCTTTTCATTGCATTACTCCCAAGGCTATGTGGTTTCAGTAGAGCAACACCCCTCCATTATTCACTCAACACAAGTCACTGTTATTATTTATTTATCGGTCGGATGGCCCTGTCCTATGGTCAACCGATAGGAATTTTGAAATGATGCCAAACACACTTCATTTTAGGTACGTTCCAATGCAATCCTCTAAATGCTCATTATTCAAATGATATTAAAATATTGCATATTCCTGCCAATTAACATTTTACCTGATGATGTTCCGCACTTTCAGGTTGACCTTGTCGGCTAAGACGCAGAACGTTTCATACCCCGGGTTCTGAACCACCTGCCCTCCGTACTCCACGATCTTCTTCTCCAACTCTGTCTTGGAGTGGCTGGGTGGTCCGTTGATGACACAAAATTCGCGCTCGGCAAACATCTCTGACACCTTGCGCAAAAAGCAAGCTTTCAATGAGTATAATAATGATGCGTATTTCCACCAGTACACTTTTAGGCCTTGAGGGGGTAACCGTGATGATAAAATTTTCTAAAGGCCATCTCAGCTCCCTGAGGGGTATTCAGCTTGCTAAATGCACACAATAACCCTCTCTGCCCTGCAAGGTACCCATTGCCACTCCTAGGTGGAGAGAGGTACGTTGGGAAGAGTGTGACTTGCTGAAGGTCAGGTTCAAATTGGCTAAGGAATCAGCCAAAAGCAAATGTCATCACATACAGTATTGGCTGGTACTCTGCGTTTTAAAAAACAGTTTGGGTGGCTGTGAGCCTAACAGCTCTATCAATGCTTGATCTCTCGTTTTGAGGAGAATCGGAAAGAAATCAAGGCTAAACAGAATGCCACGGGTCCAACCAAAAGATGACAAAGTACCACGAGACCACAAGGTTGCACTGGGCAAGAGGCCGGTTAGAAGCTGTACGTTATTCACTGTAAACTCGACAATGAGGCTTATTTTCATGTAACACAAAACAAATTCTTTATCAAATGGCATAAAAGTCACCACTTGTGCCATGTATGGCTGTTATCTTGCCAAGCTAGCACTAGGGACCAGCTCTGCATTTTTCTCAAATTTCTCGCATATTATCAAATGTTTGAAGACTCCCCTACTGCTCTCAATAATGCGCAGCACTGCCATTTTTTCCTACGACAATGACGGATGTGTGTCAAATCACTGAGTTAGTGACAGCGCCTTACTGAGAGACATAAAAACCCACCTTTGTGACCTCTGAAACATCAGCGGCCATGAAGCGAGCAGCCACGCCGACAGGCTTAGCCGTTCGAGTGGCTACCTTCCTCTTCTTGCTTGGTACATCTTCGTCCCCCTCCAGGCCAGCATACTTTGTTGCTAGCTTGCCCTCCGATGCCTAAAACCATCAAACAAAAACTCATTTATTGTGGCCTGTTCAAAAACAGACAAAAAATGTACACACCAATGTATATTGTTTGCAAACGTCAATATTACAATGGTGACTTCATTCTCCCAACGGTTCTTTTCATCAGCTCGACACATTTATATCAATTTTGCAAGTGAATCTCTAACCAGTTGATGTAGGAATTATCTTATTGTAAACTTATCCGTGGCCCGCCTTGAGCAGAAGCACTCCCTCATTGGTTGAAAAGAGCTGTGTTGGTCGGGAGTGTTCATTTTGCTGGTAGCAATGTGACCATAACACTTATATTTCTTAGTTGTTTGCAAACCGGTTAAGTGCAGTTCTGTCCAAAGGAGCCTACGTTGCTAGGAAAATTGCCCCCTCTCTTGGTCCAGCTCGGGGCTCATTGTGGGCTGAAAATTCTTTCACTCCATCAACCATTTGCATGTGTACAAACACACTGAGAATCACGGAAGCACGGGGGTGAAGCGTTAACGTCCCCCAGTCCTGAATATGGAAATTGGCATGGCATGTTTTTAAATCCTCCAAGCAATGCCACATAAAGTTGTTGAGGGTTAAACATGTCCTTCAGCGCCAACTCGTTATTAAAGAGACATTAATGACAAAAGCACTTGCCTGTCTTAGATTTTCCAGCTCATCCGTCGTCATGCATTGGTGCCACTCCCTGTCCTCTCGCACCTTTTCCACCCGCGGGAAACGAAGCGTGCACCCAGTTGGGTAGCTGAGGACAACCAGTAGAGAAATCAGAGGGAATGAAAGACACTGACAGTGGAAGATTTGAAGACAAGAACAAAGCACATTTATGCACCAAAACTAAGCAAAGTCAACAAGTCGTTGATCTAGAGGAACTGCTAAGCAACAGGCTTTGAAAAAAGTAGACTTTTAAAACACATTCTTAAGATTCTGCGACGATGGAAACGTCATGCCCTCTAACTTTTTTGATTTGTATATTAGGTCACCATGGCCAGCAAGTGTTGTAGCAGTGTTGTGGCACTGTTGTGGCACTGTTGTAGCAGTGTTGTGACAGTGTTGTGGCACTGTTGTAGCAGTGTTGTACCAGTGTTGTGGCAGTGTTGTAGCAGTGTTGTGGCAGTGTTGTGGCAGTGTTGTGGCAGTGTTGTGGCAGTGTTGTGGCAGTGTTGTAGCAGTGTTGTGGCAGTGTTGTGGCAGTGTTGTAGCAGTGTTGTGGCAGTGTTGTGGCACTGTTGTAGCAGTGTTGTAGCAGTGTTGTCAAATAATATTATAACCGGCAAAGACAGCTTTAGCATTACCTTGTTGAAGAGTTTATTTCTGTCGCTTTCACTTGGAGAATGAAGGAATGTTGTGGTTTGACATACATGTCTGGCTTTTCCTGAAATGCAACATTCAAAAACAGTAAACTAAACATTATTTGAAACAACCAATAATTACAAGCAGAAATGCATATGACACGTTCTACCCACACTTTCAAGTGTGCGCAGTGATTCTCCTCAAGCTTGGTTTTCGTATCGACAAAAAGGATGCGGATCACCGAACAGCCTTCAATCACATGGAAAACGCTATATCGCAACTGACGAAGACACACGTGCAGACAGTCTCTGCAGTTGGATCACATTCAAGCCGCGAGTACAGGCCCGCAGAAACACCCCGGCTGGCGCGACAGGCAGGCAGCAGGGTCCCTCTCAATTTAGCACCGCACATTTTGTTCATTTTCTCTTTATGTTTAAAAAAAACCCCTCCGTTGTTGACAAAATGGATGACCACCAATGAAATACATGTAACATTCAACCCAAGCACCAGTTTAGCTTCAAGAAAGGTAAAACCAACCAAAAAGCACATTTCCTATTGTTTCGTGTCTTGGCAAATAACGTCACACTCTTTTGCTTTCACAACCATCTCGACATCTTGCATGCTTAATGGATACCTGGCTGAAAAGGGCCACCTAATTTTGCTACAGAGTGGCCGTTCACAAACAGGGGCCAATTTCATAGAGCTGCCTAAGCACAAAATTTGCATAAGCGTGAAAAAAACCTTGCTTGACAAATCAGGTTACCAGCCAAAACTCCATGTGATGTATATTGTTTTGGAATGGTATTCATCTGTTGTTTGGTTAGTATGACAATCACATAGATGTTGAGGTGATAACCTTTGTTTTTTTTGCAAGGTTTTTTGCGCTTAAGCAAATTTTGTGCTTAAGCAGCTCTATGAAGTTGGCCCCTGGACATGCCCATTGATTGCCTCTGTGCGTGGACTTACCTTCGTGAATTGGAGAAACGAAGGAGGGTTTTCCTTCTTAAAGACTTTCAAGTGTGGGAGCAGGCGTTGGTTGAAGTCATACAATTCTTTAAGTGTGTAACCGGACCCAACCTGTTGAGTATAAAGCAGGCATCATGTCATCTTTAAATTTAAATCTTAGAAAAAATAAACTTCCGGGAACAAAAAGGGTAAACAGGAATTTAATTCCCAAATCACTTTGCCTTTTTTTATGAGGTCTACCTTTGCAAAGGCAATAAATTTGACAGGATGCTCTCCAGGCACTTCTGGGGGCTCAGCAACAGCCAATAGGAAGTGAGATACCATCTGGGATCGAATCTGTCAATGACAGAAAACAGGGCGAGTTTTACAAGAACTTGTGTGATTTGTTGAGTGGCTTAGGCATCATTTCAAAATTCTCATCGGTTGACCATAGGACAGGGCCATCCGACCGATAAATAAATAATAACAGTGACTTGTGTTGAGTGAATAATGGAGGGGTGTTGCTCCGCTGAAACCACATAGCCTTGGGAGTAATGCAATGTAAAGGCATTTATCAGTTAGAATTGGCCACTTGAGAACACTTCACCTGATAACCAACTGATAATAAATGTATCGGTCAGACGGTTCTGTCTGACACCTACCTGATAAGAATTTTGAAATGGTGCCTTAAATAAAGTAAAAATCTCTAAGACTGAATATTTTAAAATCATCCTTAACCACATGCTGCCGGGTGGTTTGAAAAATGCAGTGCACACATACGGGACATTTTCAAGATTTTCAGTTTTCAAAATTCTTCCAAAATTAACCATTTCAATTAATGGACATTTACACCTACACGAATGACTGTCTGGTGGCTACTCTAATCTGACAGACAAAATCCATTGACGTCCGAGTATTTCAGCCAGGCCTGCAGCCTTGTAAAAAGAGCCCAGATTTTGTTCACGAACCTGGCACAGTGCGCTGCCGACCTCTTTTCAGCAGGGGCCAGATTAGCATGCAGCAGTGCTGTGTGGCTCATCGCTGCGGCGGTGGAGCGCTTTTGTCCCCAGTGGTAATCCGCTCGCTCTAAATGCCCCAAACCGTGGTATACTGTTTTAAAACAAGGCTGGATTTTCTCCACTACTGAGAGTGAAAAAATGTTGGTAATTCCCAGCAGCCTGGTCTCTTGTTACGAGTACGGTCTTTTGTTACAAGGCCCACTTCCCTTTGTCTGATTTCGGACACCCCAGCCATGCTTATAAAGAACACGTGTTCGGTACCGGAAACCCCAGCAGCAAGTGGTCAATGACAAACAAACACATTGCAATGTTTCAAAATGGCTTTTTGAATCCCAGCAGAGGAAAATGAAACAAATGGCACAACCTAATGAAGCAATTCAAGCAATAAAATAGCAATACATGTGCATCAAAGTGACTCCATCTCGGGCAGGAAATATGTGACCTACTCTGCCTATACCAGACTGAGGCAGCTATTGAGATTTTGTGTTACTATTTTGCTTTCAGAGTGTAAATTTATCCAAAAATACATTTTTGGTTAAGAAAAAATGGTAATTGTGACTAATCAGATGTGTTAAATCTACATTGCTTGTGTGCTGTCCGTTCAACAAAAAAGATTGAATGATGTAGGTTCTCTGAGGACTTGCGGCTGATTTAGAGATAATGGACAAAGGTTTTTTGGGCAATGTATCAAACACTCACCCCCTTGCCAAAGAAACCCCCTACCACCAAGAGATCCAACTCATCCATAAGATTGTCCACGTACTCTGGCTTGATCTTCAGCCATCCACTGCCTGTCAAAATACACCAAAGGAAAGGCACTATCCTTGACAATGATAAACATGAACCGCAGAAAGTATCCTCAACATCTAGGACTAAATTTGGTTTTTTTTTTAGTTGACATGATCTTTAACTGAATGAAACCTGCATGGTGGGTACCAGTCGTCAGTCGCCATTGTTGCCAAATAGTTACTCTGTGCCAACGGTGACTGTAATCCAGTGAATTGGCAAGAAAACTAGCATTTAGCACTGCATGAAATAAGTGCCTTTAGCTTAAACTTCGGCTACAAGGTGGAACCCTACATGGTCTTTTACAAGAGTGTGTAAGTCTGTCTTTTAAAAGCATGCTTGCTGAAGGATATTACATACATGGCTCATAAACGGGTGGGCAGAAATGTGCATATTGCAACTTTACGCACTCTTTTTGATATGGTGGTTTTTAATGTCAAGCCAGTTTGGGGTGAACAGCCAATCCTGATCTTAAAAGAAGACAAACTTCTCACGAGGGACAGAAGCTTTACTGTCACTGCATATCATACACACTAGTTCTTGGCAAATGCACTGTGACATTACACTACAAACAGAACAGCATTAAATCCCTATTTCATCTTTCACAGATAGCAGACAAAGCATAAGGAATTCTTGTCATGCGGTGTGGGGCATGGCTAGGTGTGTGTGGGTGGGCGAAATCAAATCTCCTTTCTGTATTGCACACAGGTAAAATTTTGATAGTATAAACAATAGGCCGATTGTGCCCGCTACAAATTCATGTGATCTACAGTGGGTAACAAACATCAACGAACATGGCGTCCTCCCATAGTAATGTGTGTTTTAAGTGTTATTCAACAAAAATAAATCTGATTTTGGTACAGCTCTCAGAACATCAGTAGTCCGAGTACTGCACAGACCATCAGCTTTATTTTTGGTGAATGACACTCCTGACACACTTTGCTATGGGAGGAGGCCACGTTTGTTGACGTTTAATACCCACCGTAGGTCATGTGACTTACTGGGCACAAATGGTCTACTGCCCTATGACTGAGCAGGTATGGCTTTTCAACTCCTCATACTCAAAACGAGGCACGTCTTAGGTCATTTGAGAACATCAACACACTTGCATATGGTATGCCCCATCAGTGCTGCTGTAAGCTCAGTCACGAGCACTGAACTGTTCGGGCATGACATCTGGGACTTTGATCTCCAACGATCTTGCCTTTTTTGAAATACTAGCTCGTTGCTCCTGGCGACAGCGAACAACTCACTAGACTCAAATAAACTCTACACGGTAATGAACCAGTGTTTAAAACAATGACAAGTACACAGCCTGCTGGGGGGAAAGAGATTCCGGCAGTCTACTGTACCTTTCCTCCTGTCTGGCAGGTAGGTGGTGTTGGGGTTCTTGATCATAATTCCTTCTTCCCGGTTGTCGATGGCATCATTCAAAGCTGTCACGACCTCCTGCCTTTAAGAACGGAACAACAGAAATTGCAAAACTTACATTACGCATTATCCTGCCACAGAATTTCGAATTCGTTCACTAAGAGCATTTTGCCTTTGTGAAAGAGCCTAATAAGATCACACATCTTCCTGCCTTTTAATTTCTTTTAGATATAAAGTAAACAAAAACGGTCTTCCTTCAGGACAAACGAACCACTACACATCCATCTTACTTTGAACTTGCTTCCCGTCTCTCCACAATGTGAAGTCTGCCTTCAACAGGAGTGAACACTCTGTCAAAAAGAACAAAATCCTTGCCTAATTGGCAACCGACTTCCATAATCATCTCCAATCAACAACAAAGCATGCACGACCATATCAAGAAATACCAAACTCCAAACAACTTCTTCAAGAAAATTATGAAATCTTTCACTAAATTCCGGGCCATTTTGTGTCTCAGTTTCACAATACTGTTTAAAGTACAGTGGGTGAAATTAGGCCAAAACGTGGTTGGACAGAACTAGAATGATCAACGCTATTTTGTCATTCCCAGATTTTAATCACGAGTATACATGTGTCAAAAGTGGTTTTCAAATGTCCGATGTCAGAGTGCTTCAACTCGGGAAATTGAAAAAAAAAAGTTTATGATGACATATTATCATAATCCCTGCTAATAAACATCTATCATGGGGCAGCCATCTTGCTTTGATACCATTCAAAGCAATGTAACCAAACTGAGGCTGGAAGGAAAACTAATCTGTTCCCTTTCATCAATATGTGAAGTCATATTATTGTTGTCAGTGGGTCTACAGGGAAAAAGACAAACATAGCAGCACAATGATGAAGTTCTATTGGGTCAAGTTATCTGACATTTGACTCCCTGGGGAACACACCTGGCAATGCTGCCACTTCAGGCACAACTGGCCAAAACTAATAACCATCTCCGCCCTCACTGGCGCCCAATGACTGAAGAGAGGCGCGTAGGGGTGAACTGACTTGCCTAATTGGTCAGAACATGTAACCGCCTGCTAGGATTTGAACCCCTGACCCTAAGAACAGATGCTACAAACCTAACCACTGGGCCTCAACTTACTCCTTGATGTACTCGACTCGTTCATGAAGAGGGAGGTTGGCCAGTTTCTTGTCATTGTAGAGAAGAATGTCAAACACGCAGTAGCAGACTTGGAGATCTAGTCCATAAAAAGGGGAAGACATGTGAAATCCAGAGAACAGATTGGAATCTGTAATCATATCACATGGCTCACAGCCCTCACAAGGTCTTTGAGTACGAAGTCAAAAAGAATTCTGCACGATACGATAAACTGGCCCATGTGCTATGAGCACATGACTGTTGGAAAAATTAACATTTAAACTGACCTGCCTAGGAAAAAATAGGCATTTCGCAACTATCCAATTGGTGTGAAAATGATCATATGACATCACTGGAAAAAAGCGCAAAGCCTTAGCATGAACAAAACTGTGTTGCGATGACATCAGAAAACATGTCAAGGGAAGTAAATACTGCCCCCCCATCTTGTAGGGTTAAAAATAGGATTTCACTTACCTTCGTCATCTTTCAAGGTCTTTATGTCAAAATTTTCACCCTTCGTCCTGGGGCAATAAATAAAAAGTACAATCAAAGTGACGGGTAATTTGATCACAACCCTCCCTGCTGTTTTTCACAACAGTTTGCTGTTATCAAGTAGTCTGGTTAGCAATACCTGTATTATAGTTTCGATTGCGAGGCGGGGGCTAGTCTATGATATCACAATGTGATATGCACAAAGATAAGGGTAATATGTATTTTTATTGACCGGTCACATGATCACTCTGGTCCAAAGAAAATTCGGGGTGAACAATGCTATTCATTGTCAATTCCCCTTGTGGTTCCTTTGATCATTCACTTTGGATGAGAAACCACTTACATGAATGTCTTCGTGTCTGGATTGTAGGCAAGCATCTCTCCATCCAGGATACAGTTACGAACATTCCTGAAAAAGTTATAACAATCGTGACAAATGAACTTTCTGAAAAAAACAAAACAAAACTAGTGAAGTCAATTACTGAGGAAGATTGTGATTCGAACTCTACTTAGGAACTTCGGTACCTTTTGAAGCAGTTTGTTATGTAGGGAGTGAGGCTGCCATCATCTGGAGTCTCACCAAACGATCGAGAGTAGTCATGTGATCTGTAACGATCCCAAAACACACAAGGGTTTGCATAAAATCACATCTGCCCAAAAAGTTGTCTGAAATATTAACAGGGGGTTATGGGTTTGAGTCTAACATATGTGACCTTGTTGGGTCTTTTTCTTAAAATGGACACTTTCTGTGACAAAGCGGCAAGAAAATGACCAATCAAAACGATGCTTTCTCCAGACAGTACCGTCTTGAGAAGTATTTGTAGTCATTTCCTTCCTTATGCAGCTGCATCCTCTCTCCATCCAGCTTCGTCTCGATGTAGAAGGGCTTGTGCTCCATCAACTTCTCGACCTGCCGCAAGAGTACACAACAAGTTTGATGCAAAATGCAGCAAAAATGCTGTAGACGAGAATCTCTGAAGACCTCCACAAGACCATCACAAGACCAACACCAGATTTCCTGTCTGAATTCAAGTCACAAGCTATTCAAATCAGCTGCAACAAAAGCACTCCTTTGTCATTGTTCACCCTGTCAATAAACCATTTGCAACGTAAATTTGAATAGAATCTGGTACACCGAGTTTAATTCACGTGAACATAACATTTTGGTTGAAATGATAAAACAGCTTTCTGGGCAGTTTGCAAGGGTATGCTGCTGTGGCAAATTACTTCATAAGTTGCCTCAGATTAACGACATGCACCAAGTTCCAATGATCTCCACTGATGAAAATCTCACTTGGAATAAATACCCTAGACAGTCGGGTGCCATTACCTGGTTGAGATTTGCCCTCATGCCCAGCATGGGGCTGAACGCTGAGAAGACAGAGATTCCGACTTCGTTCATCCGCACACTGGGGTCCCTCAAGTCAGCACAAAGCTGCCACAAATGCAAACAGATGGCTAATAAATGGTATTGTGACAGATTAACAAACATGGGTTGCGGTGACGAAGGATACCCAGTTATTGATTGGAAGGTTTCATCAATCCCAATACATGTCTATAAGGTGTATCAATAAATTTAGGCACCATTTCAAAATTCTTATCAGGTAGGTGTCAGACAGAACCGTCCGACCGATACATTTAGTATCAGTTGGCTATCAGGTTAAGTGTTCTCAAGTGGCCAATTCTAACTGATAAATGCATTGCATTACTCCCAAGGCTATGTGGTTTCAATGGAGCAACACCCCCCTCCATTATTCACTCAATGCAAGTCACTGTTATTATTTATTTATCGGTTGGATGGCCCTGTCCTATAGTCAACCGATGGGAATTTTGAAAAGATGCCTTAGAATTAAACCTATCCAGAATGACTTTTTTGGAAGATCAGACAGCAGCTGATGGAAAAATATCAGCAAATAATTCTTTAAAAGTGAAAAGAGGCTGTTGATGAGGAAATAACAAAAAAGACTTGCCAATGCAAAGCAAACTGGCATCTTGGCATGGTCAAGTGATATCCACCAAGGTTGAGATGTGCCAAACTTTTGTGAATGCATGACTTCATGTTTGTGTTCACTTTAGAACCAGTCTGAATAGTTCCTGACCCTTAAATTGGTCATTAATCCATTAAAATACTACGACACAAGGTTCAGGGTTTGGGTGGGTTTTGGAGGTTTAGGGTGAACCATTTCAGCAGAGGAAGTTACCTTGGACAAGTTGTTTGTGACATTAAAAAAGTCTTCAGCATCAGGATGGAAAGCATGGAATATGGACACTTGGCTCAGTCCAGACTTCATGTCCTACCAACAAAACAATTATTCATAAAATAAAAAATCAAAAGCCACAGGCTTAAGCTCTTCCGCTTTTCTCTTCGGAAGAGCTCTTTTGTGACTGACAGTTAAATTCACAGAAAAAGCACTGCTATCCGCATTGACTATGCTGATCTGCAAATTCGACACAAGCTGGTAAGAAAGTCTCAAATTCGCAAAGGGGAAGGGTTCACACGTGAAGAACGTACATTTCAACAGAAGTCAGTCACACGTTCTCAGTGTGTCCCATGCCAATGAGTGTGGCTCGGTGATCAGGTGAATTTCAACGACTGGAAAAGTTTGCAACTAATTTTACACCCTGGAGCTCTTCCACACATGGAACCTGTAAGCTTAATCGTTCATATTTACTTCTTTCATTAGTATGACCGTCTCTCTGTCAGCCACATTAATATCACTGACAACTTGCGGTGCCCGCTGCGGCACTGGATTTGCCAGCCAGCCACTCAGTCTCGATAAACTTGGCGGTCGAGTGGTTAAGAAATCTTCACTAGTAAGCAGGACGATGTGGGTCCGAATCCCACCCGCGCAAGCCGATGGTTATATCACCACTCTCAAACCACACTGAGAATACTGTGCAAAGATATAAAGTCGGTGTTATGGGTAAACCCGAATATGAAACTGTCTGTCTGTTGGTCGAGATGTCTGGCTCTGTTTATGTCAATGTACATCCATCTGTTTGTCCATCATTTAGCTAGGCCATCTCTCTGTCTTTACCTTCATGATCATTCTGACAAGCCATTTTTGCTCGAGGGCGCTAGTGTTCCGTAAGAGGTGCATGAGGTTCTTCTTGACTACGTCTTTCTTCTTTGCGGCGTTGCTGGCCGCTATGCCATCCAGGCAGGTGTTGACGTCCTGAATGCTCAAACTGAAGCAGAGAAAAAAAGTTTCCAAGACATTCTACGATGACCCTCACTTCATCTGCATTTTTGCTAGGAACTTTCCCGAAGCCTTCAAGCAAGGATGCATTCTTCAAAACCTCCTGAGAATCTGGGAGCATTAGAATTAATCATTCACAAGTATTAACAAAACCTGTAAGAACATACAAGTCCTGTTAACAGGCTGAGACAGAATAAAGCAACAATGTTTCAAGCTTACCTTCCTTTCTCAGGGCACCTGTTCCTTAGGACAAAGTACGCGACACTGGCAAAGTCCCCAGCTTCCTAAGAGACACATGCAGAGACAACAAAACTGAATCAGTTGGATGCCTTCTGGAAAAGACAAATTGTTACAAATTGATTTCTGCCTGACCTTCATAAGTGCATTCCACCTGTCCGTGAGAAAAGAAATCCTAAAGTAGAGCTCCATCAGAATCAGCCGTCCTGTGGCTAAGGTTACAGACTTTTCCACAGACACACTGCACTGACAAGCTCAGCCATAAGCAATGCCTATAAGCCTTCTCAAACAAACGGCTAAGGCTGTAGATTTTGCCACTGCAATAACGAGCTGTATAGTCATAAACAACAACGCCATTTCGGACAAAGCCCACGCACAAGCAAACCCACAGTTTGTGTCACTGATGGTTCTGAAACTCAAAGCTTTCATTGTCCAAAACACCATGGCATAAATTTGTAGAAAATGGGTACAAACAAGCAATGATTTGTTTTAAAACAGCTCCCTCGACCAGGTTGTGACTTAACTCCACAGTGGATAACTTGTAAATGGCTTTCTTAACTAACTTCTAGGATTGGATATTTGACGACCCAGGTTGCAAGAGATAATTTTCAGGCATTTGAAGCAAATTTATACGCACAAAACTTCAGCCTACCTGCTTTGCGGTCGGCGCCCTGTAGTTGAGCAGCTTCTTGGCATCAGTGCTTTCTTTGGCCAAACCGAGGATTTCAATGTAGAGCTTGGCCAGGGTATGCTGTGACAAGACACGATAGATCAGTGGCTAACTTTATACGCCTTGGTCATTGGGACAATTTTGATATCATTTAGATGACGAAATGATTAAATAACTTAACTTGCTATTTAATTGGAAGAGTGCGGACAAGTTAAACTGATGCAAGGATAGGAACACTTATGAGTGAAATGGTAAGAATATATTCATAAGGTGACTGGTGATAGTTCCATGTGCTGAGGGGAAGGGAAGCTCAGTGAAAAGACAAATAAAAATCTGAATATTCCACTGCACGAATGGGATATTTTTATTAGTATTTTGTTATACAATGTCGGAATAAAACCTGTATAAATCCCTAAATTAACAGCGGTCTCAAGAGTTTTTGTGGCCATGCATAAGAATTTCCCTCCCATATCCTTTAAAATCCATGAGATTTTGTTCAGGATTTTGTGGGATTTGAGGAAGAATGCAGGCCACCCCTATGGATGCTGCTTGGTGGCCCTTTGAAAGTTAAAGAACAAAGAAAGGGCAGCTGGATTCCAGTGCCGTGGCAGACTTTGAGGGATCATCTGGGTAGCCTAGAGAAAAAAAAAAAATGTCTTGGAAGTAACCACTGGGCAACGGACCTGTAACGCAGCCATTGTCTGTGATGCTTTCCTCCAAGGGCCGGAGGAGAAAGTGACAGGGATTAGGCTTGGAACAGGCCAGGGGAGGGGTGGGTGAGGTCTGGGCGGGAGAGAACAGGGGCATCTTGCTCAGCTCATCCTACCTCCTTGATCCCGTAGGCAACCCTTTCTCTCTCCAGTTGGGGTAGGAGAAGCCTCAAGACGGGGTAGAAGTTGTCTTTCTGTTAACAAATATATATTGGCACCGTTGAATTACAGATAAGCTAAGGTACTGGACAACTTATACATGTAAATACTTTAATGTTTTTATTATGATTAATTCATAAATACTTCAGACAGTCCCTCTACTCAACAATGTGTAACTTGACCTTGTATTAACATTAAATTTTGATTATGTCCGCTGAGAAGTGATAACGCCCGCTGTGTAAATGACGCCCTGGTACCTGGATGCGAGGTAGTAATCGATTGTGATTGGTCAAGCGGCTCGCCACGCGCATATCAAGTCCAAACAAGGAGATTCTTTTAGACAACTTGCACAAGGAATATACCATAAAATGGACGGGGACGTTCAGGTTTATGAAAATTAAATGCTGAACAAAATAATTGGAAATCCATCATATACTGACTTCTTTTGACTCTCTGACTAAAAAAGGAATTCGTGAATGGGAATAAGAACATGTATGTGTTTAGCTGGTCTTAAACTGATAATGCCCGAGCCGCAGGCGAGGGCATAAGTTGCGTCCAGTCTCCTGAGCTGGCCAAGCACAGATTTATTCCCTTAATAAATAATATGCAAAGTGAATAACACCAATGGACGGTTTTTCTACAGCACATTTCAGGCAAGGTCTCAATGCCCTGACATACCTATCCCTGCTCGTCAGGCATGTGATAATTCTTATAAACAATCTCAGCTCCCTGGGAAGTATACAGCTCAGTCACTGCGCAGCCACGTCAAACACTAAGTGACCAATCAATCACAATGACCATCTCTGCCCAGGTACCCCATTTGCTCCTAGGTGGATAGTGGCACACAGGTACTAAAGTGACTCGCCCAATGTAACAACATGAAACCACATGTTGGATTCGCACCCCCGACCCCATGTTAAGAGTTACAAACCCTAACCACTAGGTCATGTGTCCAACGAAGTTATCAGGCCTGACATTACAATCCAAATTGGAGTAAATTTTGGACTGTCTGTGTCTTTCCAAACCGTAGGGGGTTGTCTCTAAGAAGGTACGGTCACAGAGTGTAATAAGAGTGCATTTGCGATAAAAGAAAGACCATCACAGTAACGAATGACAACATTGGTCCAGGAAAAACATATGAAAGTCCACCACAGCAAAAATTTCACGCAGCTGCATGGACTTTTTGTTCTACCCATTTTGGGGGTTGTGGAATGCATGTATGGATACAACAGCTAGTCACATGGACAAAAAATCCAATATAAAATTTACACCCTACCAGAATCTTTGTGGATATGTAGGGCGTGGTCGGCCAATAAGCACAATCTTGAGATTACTTTGCATTATTGGTCGATCCTGTATGATATCTCCGACTTTACTTTCCTTTTTTGAAAGTAATCTTCCGCAATCATGAAACAGACAGCTATCATCCGAAGGTGCAATTGTTGACAGATGATATAGCGAGATCGACCGTTTGTGCAGAGATGAAGCGATCGCCCAGCATGACTGTGTGGTTGACAGATCATACAGTGAGACTGACCGTTTGTGCAGAGATGAAGCAATCGCCCAGCATGACTGTATGGTTTCACGTACCGTATCTAGATTATTCTTGTGCAGCTGTTTGTGAAATTCGCGCCACTTCTCAAGAAACTCACGAAACATCTGTCTCTTGCCGTCTGTGCCGTGCTTCTTTTGGACTTTTTCCAGGAAGCCAGCAAGCTCAGCAAACGGGATGCGACTGGCCACCGTAACTGAGTCAGCAGTCGATGTCGACGGCAAATCGCCAGCATCTGACATTCTTCCAGTGTTGTGGACCTGGATTTGGCAAGGATTCAATGTTAATTTTGGACCAATAACAGTTGAGATATCAAATTACAATACATGCTGATGAGAACATTACACAACATATTTTTCAACAAGTGGCTGTGGTCCTTAGGGTATGGGAGAAGTCCAATGTTTCAGCCCAACTGGTAAAGGCCTTGGGTACTCTCAATGTCAGCTGTGTGACAGCTTGGCCAATCGCAACACAGCTCTTGTCTTTTCCTTTTCGTTTTCCTGACCCCATCAAAAAGAAAGCAAAGCTATGATTGGTCATTGGAATGGAAGCAAATTGGGCCAATCACACTGCGGCTTTCATCTGTGGGTGACAGGAAAACAAATAGAAAAAGATAGGAGCAGCGTTGTAGGACATTAGGACATGTTAGAAGATATAAACTATGTGACATCACACCTTGTGACTGTATACTCGCCAGGTCCCTTATTTTGCCACTTACTGTGAAATCCAATCAGACTTGACAATAGGTGGCAAACATAGGGACTTGGCGACTTTATGGTCACTGACGTTATACCTTCCTCCATGGTTTAAATGTGCTCTTTCCTTGGAGGTAGTGGAGGTCAGCTAAGAGTGGAATAAAACCTCCACCATATCCACAAGTCACACTGAGCACCATAGCTATACGCATAAATGAGTGAGGGCGCTGTTCAGTCAAGAATTCATTCATTGTTATTTTCTTAATTAGGAAACTGTGATTAAAATTTGTGTTTTTCCCCCATGCTGTGCCTCCTCTATTTAATTCCCAATTTCAAAAATTTTGAAATTTCAAGTGAAGCCAGCATTTAACTCATTGAAATAATGCATGAATAAGAACAAACCTTTTAGAATTTTAAGCTTTTAAGCGAAAAAACAACACTCATTTTTGTGTAGGCCTACAAAAAAACTCACAGTTGGCTCTGCATTACACATGTATGAAAAATTCCTCAAACATCTAAATATCCCTGCTTCTAAGTCATTATTTCTTTGCTTTGCAGAGTCCGATGGAATCTAAACTTTAGGGGCCTAGATCAAATGTTTCCTTAGGCTAATTATCCTCTCCATCATAAAGAAAACAGACAAAACTATGAGCTACCATAGCTAGCCTAGGAAAGCACACACATCTTCACTTCACTTTATTTTTTTCCATGTAATATAAAAGATAGTAATGGTACATATTCAGTTGATGGATGGAAACCCCCAAGAAGCATTGCTTGTCCAGTGGAGGACCCATAGACACTTAAGACAATGCTACAAAAAACTACAAACATTATTACTAGCCTAGTTGACTAAAAAATAATGATGTGCAAAAATAATATGCAAACAGTAACATGCAGGCTGTGACCCTGTGGTACATGACTTAATTGTTATATAAATAGTTATTTAATAATACATATTTATATTTACGCTTAAACATAGAGGAACTGGCAATTTTTTTCGATGAATTGTCAATTGAGCTCCACAGCTTTGGCCCCTCATGTTTTACAGTAGCTTTAGAAAATGCAGTCCGGGCATGAGACCTGTGAAATTCATGACATTGTCGTGTAAAATAATTGTCGTTTCAATCATCAATACAGCGGTCTACTATTCACTATTCTACTCGTAAAAGCAGGTGCATTCGCAAAACATTTTGGGCACAAACAAAGTTTACCTAGCTTTTGAAGGGACACCGATTACCCAAGATATCTGGACAGGAGGAAGACGAGTTGAGACAAACCAAACAGGCCGCGATGGGCGCAACCATTAATGTGCGTCTACAGCGCCCTCACTTGTTGAAACTTCTGTGTCCATTCGAACATGTCACGAGCATTCTCACCGTAGCACGTTCCAACCATCCCATCCACGATTCTGCACGGAAATTTTGGCGGAAACTGAAATGTATTCCTCCCGAGAATGAATTTGTAAAGTTTCATTCAGCTACTGAGAGCTTCTAGTTTCAACAGGATGTCGGCACGGTATATAACAGGCGTCACAAGACAAATAGCTGAGCAGTGTAAACAGCTGACCAGGCGACCTTGCCGTGCACATTTCCAACCATGCGCATGCCGGACTTCGTCTCATTTCTTGCGCTACTTTCCACGCAAATTTGAGCATTTGGCGGGGACAGTGCAAGGCGAAAAGGGAATATTTTTTATATCTAAACCAAAGTTTCACTTGTCGTCTTCATATCTCTTACATCACCGGCGGTTGTCATCAAATCCTTCGAGTGCTGGCGAAGATTTGGAGGAGGCGGGCAGTGCGGATGAATGGAGTCATCCGTCATATCGAACTGAAGATGTCTTAAATCAGGACCCAGAGTTGCGCTCTCTCCTCTGTGAGATTGCATCAGATTTTGGAAAGTCCCAAGCAGTGCTTACTGATTCTAATTCAGTTGGAACTTGTGAGAATGAGTCGTTGACAAATCAGCTTGAAAAAAGCAGTGAAGGTGCTGACAAAGATGCAAATGAAGGCATTGTTTCCACAACAACCGAGCACGAGAGTCAAACAGAGTTGAACTTGAAGGGTGGAGTGGAATTATCTCCCGTGGAAGCTTCAAGGAATGCTAGTAAAAGTGGGCTTTCTTTGAAAATTCATTATATCATTTTGTCAGAAATGCTCTTGTCTGATTGTATCCTAAACATGTGTAATGAACCATTGCGATATTTCAATATTGGAAGGATATTTTAAGAACAAAGAACCTGATGTCAGCCTCATGCCACATGCAACACGTTCAGTATGTTTGAGTTGGCATGATGGCAGGTTATCCTGATAGGGCCAACATTGCAGACGTATGTTAATATTCTCAAATAACCTACGGTACGGTACGTGGACACTGCATTTTGAGTAGACGCTCTCTGAATGCTAAACTCATGCTTGTAATTTTTATGTGTATTTTGGGGCCAGTTAGCAGAGACATAATTTAAAGAATAAATCTTTTTTTGATTACGATTCAGACTGAGAGCTGTTATTAAGTCAACACAAGTTCACCTCCAGTGAAACCTAGTTTCTTATCATTCACCCGTTGGAGGACTTAGGATTTTTAGGGTTAAATCAAAAGAACTGTGCATCAGCTGTTCAAGTTGTGACAATACCAGCCAGTGGACATCTGACTGGTAATGAATGTGGGGTTGACGCAGTAACAGACAACTTCTGACATTTAGCAAAGACAATAGTCCATTTTGTCTCAGTCTCGTGTGAAGATTAAGCAAGGTATGGCATGAAATCGAATCCTGATACTTTTATGATAGCACTGTATCCAAACTACCCCTGTTCTATCTTTTCTCAAACCATTCATTTTGATAACAAAATGTTTGCTATTTCCTTGAAGTATCCACCAGCCTTGTTAATTAAATCTTGTAAAACCTTGAGGTAGACCTCATTTTACTGCTTGTTTATTTTGTTTATTTTTCCCTTACTCGACAGGAAAAGCATCATACGTTTTCAGCGTCGATGAGATCGTGGGCGTCTTACGCGAAGAAAATGCACAAGACATCTGCGTCATTAGGGTACCGCCGGAGAAAAACTACGTGGACTACTTTGTTGTGGTAACGGGGAGGTCTGCACGCCATCTCAGTGCAATGACGCAGCACATCAATAAACTGGTACGGAGACTAATCACAGCCTTAGCTTAAGGCCAAGTTCAAAAATATTCATGTTAGCATCTGGGTCATTGGTAACAAAGAAGGGGGCTTTATATTTTTTATAGACGAAGCAAGTGAGCTTTCACTGGGCGTTTCACATGGCCCCCTTTAATGGTTGACAGCAGTGAGTCAAGTTTTGTACGGAGTGACTTTAATGGAACAGTGGCTCTGTACAATAGTTAGCAAAATAACCTGTGATGGCGTCTACCGTGGCATTGTCTATTTTCAAGATTGCTGCCATTCTTTTTGAAATTCCCGACAACCACTGTAGTTTCATGCTTTCAAAGACACAAGAAATGAAAGAAACATGTAAGATAAGTTAGGCATTTTGTACAGTGGTCTGGATAGTTTGTTAAGCATGTTAAATTGTGGCAAGGTTTCATGAGACTGAGAATTTAGAAACATAGCCACTTCCGTAGAGATATAAACCATTTTACCTACAACTTATACTGGCCACCAATGTTTGCAAAACAAAACACCCTTTGGTTGGCTCTTGAGTTTGCCTGAAAGTCCTCAAATGTACATTTTTCTTGTTCATTTTTAAAGAGGCTTGTATTTTCATTTACTATCCGGTAGATACATGGATTATTATCTGGTATTTTGATGGTTGCTTTGGATTTTAAAGTGCAGCTGCATTGACTTTTTCTTCGACTCAATTTTTCTGCATCTTTGTACTTTTCTTCAATGTATGAAAACTCTTCCACACTCTTATTTGGTTCAATGAATTGAAAAGTGTACACTTTTAAACAATCAAAATTATCCATGTTTTCCCGGACAACTGAGGGCGCTGTTGCTGTGAAGTCATCTGAGGAAGACATGGTTTAATGCATAGGTATTTCTGTAGAAATTGTGAACCCAGAATTTATCAACTGAGAGAGGAACTGATAGTTTCCTATTGCTATGCTCAGTCCATGAAAATCCGCAAGAACGCAGGGCTTGTTGTGTACAAACCTATGTAACATGGAGGCTTCTTCCTAAGATGACATCACAGTTTTGCTCATGAATATGGAAATATCATTAGCATAAAAACAAAAAAGGCATTAAAATACCCATTCAAAGAGTGAAACCAAAGCTGAAAATAAGATTTACTGAGGCACAAAGGTGCATTTTACAGGTTTGTAATCAAAAACATTGATTGCAGCTACAACACTGTGATACTTTTTCTTCTACTTTTGCGTTGATGGCCATAATTCACATGTGTAGGGTCGGCTCTTTTTATGACGCAGTTATGTTTTTCCTTTAAGGGGCTGCTAAAATTATGTTTTAGCAGCCCCTTAGAGGAAAAACATAAAAATAAAAAGAGCCGACCCTACACATGTGAATTATGCAGCTTGTGTCGAGTGTTCAGATGAAATGAGTGGATTTTTCTGTTTCTTTTTGTAGTATAAACAGAGTAAAGGCAAAGATAATCCTTTCCTGATTGTGGAGGGAAAGCTAACAGATGACTGGATGTGCCTTGACTTTGGTAAGTTGGCTAACACTTATGAAAGCTATAACATGAATATAAGAACCCATTGGGGCTGTGGTCGACATTTGAAGCAAGATATGGGACGGAGAGAACCCCCCCCACCTTTGTGTTTGTCATTGTTTGATCGGAATCTCAGG